TTCCTTCCTTCCTTCCTTCCTTCCTTCCTTCCTTCCTTCCTTCCTTCCTTCCTTCCTTCCTTCTTTCTTTCTTTCTTTCTTTCTTTCTTTCTTTCTTTCTTTCTTTCTTGATTTGTTTGTTTCTGTTTTTGTTGATTTGTTTCAAGACAGGGTGTCACTACGTAGCTCTGGCTGTCCTGGAACTAACTCCCTATGTACATTAGACTGGTCTCAAATTCACAGGTGCTTCTTCTTTTTTTCCTGTCACATCAAAAGTTTTGAAATCAGTATCTTCTCAAACCAGAGGTTTCGGGTATTAAAGGCTTATCCTGGTGAGTGATAACTCAAAATTTCTAGAAGTAGCATGGACATGGATGAAAGGGAAGGAAATGATCACCACGGCCCTCTGTCCAACCGGGAGAAATGGCCTTGAGGAGGAGAGCCGAGCAGAGAAGTGATAGCAAACACCTGTGGTTGGACCGGCCTCCTGCTGAGCCCCTCACCCACGTGGTCTCTGTGAATCCCGTCACTGACCCTGACCGGCAGAACCACAGCTTTCTCCCCATTTCCCTTTCCCTTTTCCCAGAGCTCAGCTTGAACAGGAGTCATCCGAGGCCACGGCCCATTTCGCTTAATATCCTAAGGCTGTTGTAATAAAACATCACAGGCTGGGTGGCTTAAAACAACAGACACTTGCTAGCTCACAGTTCTGGTCTGGATGGGGGAAATGAACATGCTGGCAGGTTGGCTTCTTTGCCGGGTTCAGAGCGGGTTCAAGGCCTTTCCCGGCTTGGGGGAGGCTGGCAATCCCTGGTGTCCTGTGGCCTGTAGATATATTGCTGCAGTTTCTGCTTCTATTTTCACACTGAATTCTGTGTGTATCTCTGTGACTTCTAGTGTGAGCCAGCTTTCTGTTGATGTAAGTAAAATCCGTGATACACAACTCACAAAGGAGAGGTTATTTTGGGTCGTAGTTCTGAAGGATTCTGTCTGTGGTTGATTGGTCCCATTGCTTTTGTTTTTGTGCTGAGTAGCTACTTTATGAATTGAGTACAAAGTGGGGCAAAAGGATTTGCCTTACGGCTAGGACTCACTGTTCCCCCTTCGAATGACCCCAATGACTAGAAGGTCTTCTTTCTATAAAATCTCACCTTTGCAGAATAGCAAACAAACTCGTCATAAAGATATCAGTCACTGGAGTTCGGGTCCACCTTAATGTACTCTGACTTCACCTTGCCAAATTCCATTGGTAGAGATCCTGTTTCGGAAGAAGGTCACATTGGTCTAAGGACCACACATGGGAATGAGGACGACACGGTTGTAGACACAACTCAACCTACATCAACATTCAGACATTCCTGGTGCTAGCCATCAGTGATGCCAGTGTCCAGATTAGGCCTGGTGGATGACCAATGTTGTCCTGAGGGACAAAGGCAAAGGAAGAAGATATTCTGAACTCAAACACTCCCGAAATAAATGCGAAGAAACAAGTTTGTGACGACTGCAGGAGATCACAGATGAAGATTCTGCTAACTTCCCCGTTGCCTGGAGAAAACAAGAGCGGTTCTTTGCAGAAGGGAGCATTCTAAAATGTAGATAGTCAGAAACACAGGCTTGGCTCACTGCCTATTTTGGCAAGAAAACAATGCAACGAACAACACGCAACCTATAAAATGACCTTTAGGAAGAATTTTTATGAGCTCCAGAAACGACTTATGTTGTAACATTAAGCAAACAAACAAAAAGCCAAGACAAAAAGTTGTCATGTTTGTAACATGAGCTGAAATCTGCAGTAAGAGGAAATAGTCGCCCCAGATGTGGTCAGTGCCAACTGTGAGGTGGGGAGATGGAAACAGAAAACCTGTCGCCTCCGGTTCTGCATGCTTCTAGATTGCCCACATTCCCCCCTCCCACTGATAATGTCATGCTTTTAAGAAATAAACTCTTAAAAATCGAGAGCAGGTTTACATGTTCAGAAAAGCTACAAAGATTTAGAGAGCTCTCAGACCCAATATTCTGTTTACCATTGCTAAGTTGTATTTCAGCACAACTAATGAACCGGTACTGGCATACTATTATTGACCTATATATATGCATACTTCCATGGCAGAATTGAAAAGTTTATTTACCAGTTGAATTTATGTATGTGTGTGTGTATATATATATATATATATATATATATATATATATATATATTAATATATATATACAGTGCTAAGAAATGGAATCCAGGGCCTTATGCACCCTAGGCAAACGTACCCCAAACCCTTTTGTTTTTCTGAGATGGGGTCTAGGAGTATAGCCCAGGTTGGCCTCTGCTTCCTGAGTGCTGGGGTTACAGGCATGAGCACTTTGCTTTGCTCCTTATAGGGATTTTTCAAAACTTCTCTAAAGTTTTCCAGTCTAGGGTTTGGCCTTTAGACTACCCAGGTGGCTTAGTGAGCTCAGCCTCTAAGATTCCCCCAGGCATTTTCTCAGACTGCCCTTGGTTTCCTTGTGTGTGTGTGTGTGTGTGTGTGTGTGTGTGTGTGTGTGTGTGTGTTGTTTTGTTTTCGAGACAGGTTTCTCTGTGTAACCCTGGCTGTCCTGGAACTCACTGTGCAGATCGGGCTAGCCTTGAACTCAGAGATCTGCCTTCCCCCTCCTCCCAAGTGCTGGGATTAAAGGTATGTGCCACTCCACTACTGGGAGCCTTTGCTTGGTTTTGACAACTTTGACGGTTTTGATGAATGCTGGTTAAATATTTTGTAGAGTATGCCTCAGTTTAAGTTTGCCTGATTTTTTTTTCTTATAAGTAGACTGGAACTTTTAAGTTTTAGGATAAAAATTATATAGAAGTTTTTCATCTCATCATATTAAAGGTTGTGTTATGCTTGCAATGAATGAAATACATTTTTTCTTTTTCTTTTTCTTTTCTTTTTTTTTTTTTGAGACATGGTTTCTCTGTGTAGCCTTGGCTATCCTAGACTTGCTCTGTAGACCAGGTTGGCCTCAAACTCACAGCAACCCATCTGCCTCTGCCTCCCTGAGCTGCTTTGTCTGTCATGAACTGATGCACCACCCCACCTGGCTTTGAAATAAATTCCTAAATAAATACTATACCAGCAAACAGTGTTTGTCTCTGGAGAATTAGGAGCGTAGTCTGCTAACTTTATGTATAGATTTCTATGCAAAACAAAATAGTTTATGGCTAGAAAAAAAATATAAATGACAAATTTTAAGAGGAAGCATATTGCCATTTTTCTGGAAAGAGAGCCATCACTGGAGAATAGGGGTCCACAATCGGCTCGGGAGGGCCTACAGAGGCCCTACTTTCCCAGCGAGTGGCAGCATAGGCATTTGCTGTTATCAGCCGACAGCCTGGCATAAGAGGGTCTCCAGGACACGATGATCCAGGTGGAAAACTTTGCCATACTGCCTACGCTCAGAATCATCATCATCATCATCATCATCATCATCATCATCATCATCATCATCATCATCATCATCACTGTAAATGCAACTGGGCATAGCTTTGGCGACAGGGAAGAGGGAGGAGTCTCAGCCTCTATCTGGCCTGGCGCAGGAAGGGAAAGTGTCAGGTTGACATGGAACACACCAGGGCCCCGGCTTCGTGGCTTTAGGCAGTCAAGATTACAAATGGCAAGACAGAAAGTAACTACAACAGAAGAGCACAGGCCCCAGCCGGGGAGACAGCTCTAATGAGAACACAGAGATGCATTCCAGGCGAAAGGGTAACCCAAAAAAATGTAAGCAAGCCTGGAGCCGAGATTAGCTAATGCCAAATAAGTCATGCAAGGCTTGGGGCGTGTGGGCAGCTGCTAGGAGCCTAGGGCATCTCGGTGCTCGCTCGCTCACCATCCAGCACCGCAAACCTTTGTGTAAATACTGACTTTTTAGGGAAGACACGGAGAGCCTCACTCTCTTTTTCCACTAGTGACAGAGATTAAGGAGAGTTTATTGATTTTTTAAAAATAGGCTATTTATAACCAGGTCTTATTTTAGATCTAATAAGTCTCTTTAAAAAAAAAAAAAAAAAAGAGGGTACAGTGGGGGAAATGCCTGTCTCTGGATAAAGTATTTCTAATTGCTTTGGAAGATGTTACATTGAAACTAAGTATGTAGGTTCCGGGCAAACTTAAGACTCCTAAGAAGGATATTCCAAAACAAGGGCAGTCTTGGCTGCTGTGTCTGTCATCTCCTGGACAGCATTAAAGTGGTTGGAAGGATTTTTGTTTTGTTTTGTCCATATGATAGAGAAAGACAACTTCCTGAGAAGGCAGATTTTTAGTTACCACTGACAAACTTCTCCTCCTTCAAGACTCAAGGGCTCAGTTACATCTTTGCAAATTCTCCCAGCTGTCACAGTAGCCTCCGGTATGCAGCCTCAAAAGTTTC